GGTGAGTGAATTGCGAGATTTCAAAACTGACTTTCTTCAAACTTCGCCATAAGTAATCAATATCTATTCTTTGTTTGACAGACTTACACGAGGTTGATAATTTCTATTTGGGTAACGTTTCGACGTATTCGTCTTCATAGGAGCTGATGATCCGAGTGTATGGTCCTCTGAGTCCTCTGATGAGGACGAAGAAACGTCGAAACGTGAGCAGGATAAAAATTATTTATCAACCTTGTGTAAGCTAACCAAACAAAGAATACATATCGAAATGCGATAGTTCACTGAATTCGAGTTCGACTCGGAGGACTCAAAATGGCTCAGAGTCAGTCGTGGAGGAAAAGTACCGTATGATTTCGTTGACTCAAACGTTGATAACTGCTGAGACTCACATTGATTACTGTTCTGAATATCAGTGGACAATGAAATATTTGAAAAGAACACCATAACATACTTTCCTTTTTCAATTCTCTAGAAAATTAAGCTCTCGTGGAGGCAGTAATCGCACAAGCCAAGACAGTTCCGCTGGGGTTGCGGTATCGCTTCAAATCACTTACGGGAGGAAAAACGCTACGGAACATCCTGTCGCTTCAAGCACCAAACTCTCTTGAATTCTCTGATGTCATTATCGCTCTTTTCTATTTCTTCCTCGGAAGAACCAGCAGTTAAATGTGGATAGCAGAAGTAAATCACGAAAAGATCGATTTTAGAAGATAAAGGAGAACGAAGATCTTGAATGAAAATGTGGGACGCCACGCGTGCTGATGGGAATCGTGCAGGGCGATCGATGAGCCCGAAACCAAAGGGCAACGAGGCGACTTCCACTCAAACAGCAGCTGGTCTATCCGGGAACGACAGCCGCAAGAAATAAGGAAAATGGTAGACAGAGACGAAAGCACCCTCAGAAAACACTGTAGGAAAAGAGGACAACATGAATGAAGTGCTTTACATGATGCGAAGTGTATACACATACTCGTTATGCACATAGTGCAGTCACCCAGTCCGATGAGAAACTCGCCATTTTTTTAGCCTTCCAAACAATCGCCAATTTCGGTTCGCCCATCACAGTTGAAAGCAATCGTATTCTACAGAAGAAACGCTGGGAAAGGTGAGATGTTAATGCAAAGATAAAGACTGAGAAAGCACTGAAAAATTGGAACTAAAAAAGCTAGAAAGTCGAAAAAAGGGTCGGGAAGCTCAGAAAATGCATCAAACTACTTTATAAATAAGCTATTAGACAACTGAGAAGAAGGAAACCAAAAGCTAAGTTTGTGGAAAAATAATTCTTTAAACGTAGCTACAAAACGGTAAGACAAACGTCGCTCGAAGGAAAGGGTACAGGAACCGAAGGCAGCAGTGGGTAAAACAACATAATTGCCATCAACTGAGGAGAAAAGCCGTCCGAGGGAGAAAAGGTTGGAAAGAACCCCGCTCCGAAAAGAAGGCGCTAGTGACCTTCGCCCCAAGTCGACTGATTTATTGATCGTCTTCAATCGAATATTGTTGACTACAATCACGTAAAAATCATGTAAATGTACATGATTAATGTTGATTAATAAATGAAGTGCCTAGTAGAAAATAAACGCTTAACAGAACTTTGCAGACCTTCAGTTACGACCTCGAAGAACTTCGACACCAGTTATGCCGAATATAACGTGATTCCTGTTGGCAAACCAACAAAGTCATGGCTTCTTTGCGGCACCCAAATAATAAGAGAACTTTCATGTCATGCTGAAACTTGGCGAAGTTATCCTTGCTAAGGATAGCATGCAATCTGCATGAGCTTCAGGATCGACTCCGTTACAAAGTTGGATCAGATACATAAGGTAAGAACGAAAAACAACAACTAACGAAGTTACGCAATAAATAAGGGATAGCGAGACATTACCACTACCTCCTTTTCCTCTAGAGTTCTTTAGGCAACAAAACCCCAACAGCATATAGACGTCAGTTTTCGTAAGTATTCGAAGGTAAACTCCCAAAATCCATGACAATTAGACCGAGAAGGCTTAGTACCAACCTCACAGCGGCAGTACGACAAGTAGAATCAATAAAAGTTGAAAAGATAAAGCTCTCGGGGAGGATCAATCCCTGAGAGATGCGGCATGCACTTCACGAGGCATCGTTTGGAGATCATTGAGTACACATCTGGCCTTTACAATGACTCGCGGTGGCCTACCGATGTATCGAGCCAGTGCTGCTATCCTCCCAGACAAGTCTAGAGTCTAGTACCAATTTGCCGACCCCGGAGGGATGGAAGGTATGGTGGGCCATGGGCGACGGGATGAATTCCACGTGTGTGTCGTAGGGCACCTCCGATCACTGCGCCATGCGCGCCCTGGTAGACCTAATAAAATCAAGGTCTTCCAAATTATCGTGGCGCGCCTCTAAACAAAATAATAGACTATCAATTAGTGATAAAGGTAGAAGGCTTGTACTAACTTCCTATCACTTCGTTGTTTAGATAACGAAAACATCCTGATGTTGTTTCCATTTAGCGTCTATCGTCTGAATTGCAATCCAAAAATCAATATCAAAAAATGGAAAACGAATGGTTTAAAGCGGCAAGCGCGACAAGTTTAAAACTACCAGTTATTTTGCAGCTTAAAATTGGATTACCAACATGTTCCGTTTCATACTTATTTACCAAAACTTACGCTAGTATCCACTGATGGTCCATCGACCCCTCGACGTTCAGCGTTCGAACAATCAATCACCAATCGTCTTGATGGCCTCACGGTTAGAATAGCCTGGTTTATAAGCCTAATTCTCATCCAGTTGCTAAAACACATCCAAGCCTATCTGACGAATGCTCAAATGTCCGTTAGTCGTCTACATAACATGATCAGCGCCGTATGTGATAATACCACCACGTGATGAAAAGAAATTGTAACCAATATCTTAAAAACTGACTTCCATCAAAGCTTCGTGAAAAGAATTAACTATTTTCTATGCGATTAAGCATGACGTTTTGGCGCTACCACCCTCCTCAAAGCCACACGGATCCTAGTCGATGGTCTATCCATACCTGCTGTTGTCACTAATTGGATGGTCGTCGTCACGTCGAGTCGAATCCGTAGAACTGAGCACCGTTCGAATGGGAAACTTCGCTTGGCTGTGACCTTTTATAGAAGCCGTTTGCCTGCCTCCAATATGATCTACTTTGAGTGGGCAATGCGTACTGTAACAGTGCAGTCGGTACTTCATTTGTGGACACCTAGCTTGGCAATCAATATTTCAAAAACTGGTTGAAACAACGAACACCGACATCGCGACAACGACCAGCTATGGATCATCAATGGGCTCAGATCAACTCGGATATGAGGAAGGCGAAGGCATCGAAACGTTAGTCGAACAAAGGTTTCTATAGCAACCTCGTGTCAGCTCAATCATGCAGAATATTATTCAGAAATTGCAACCCGACACCATTTGTCATTATGTGGTTTTAGGCTTTCACAGTATTACAGCTGAACGCGCGAATGGCATGTCTTCATGCATGGAGAAGAATCGTGGCGACCACATAAGTTCCACTGGCCTAGCAATTTGTCGACCGGGCTAAGATTTTCCATCCAAAAAGTCTTGAAGGCTTTGTTGGCGTTTTCGCATGTCGTCACCACTTGATGGATAATGACTCTGCCCTCAAAGCTTCAATGATACATATTGGATTGCTCCTAGTTCGGCTCCTGAATGTAAACGTCGAACTCTTTTCAGCTAGGCAAACCACGATAGTATGATGAGCTCCAATCTGCATCGCAATTCGTCAAAGCTCGGCCGGCTACGATGAGCGGGAAAACACCAAGAAGTTTGTAATGCTTGATACAAGCTATACTATGTCCATGAACATTTTCATTGTTTCATTGTCGTTTTGTTTGTTGGTTCCATCCGGATGAAATCCAAGTTTTCTGAAAGAGGAGCGAAGTAAGGAGCAATTATCGCAAATATTGCACCTCTTCTTTCGGTTCCGGTAGGCAATTTGATTTTGCAGAATTCATTGACCATCATCATTTTCTGCACAAAATCGCTGCTTCACGTCAAAGTTAAATATGAATACAAACAAGGCAGATCCAGTCTCATCTTAAAGTGCTATAATACTTTAGAAATTCTGAGAAGTAGGCAAGTGACGAGGATTCACGAATGGTTTGCTCACTGACAAAAAATGACACTGACCGCAAACCAAGCTGCAAAACACCTATGATGTTATTGTTTTCTCAGCATCGTGATACTTATTATACGTGAGCTTATCGGATAACGTGAAGAAGCTGCTTTCCTCTTGCCTATTTAAAGGAGACCAGTTACAAAGGAAGTACCATTTTTACTGTTGCGTTTGTCGAAGTTATTTGGCTATCTTCAAACACACTAACGGCTTCTAAACAGTAAGTAGCAAAAGATGTTCTAGTCTCAGTTACCATTCTACCTGAATAGAAGTTTATTGTTGAAATGTGCTACCGACTAACATTCCCAGTTAAACTGGAACGATGCTGAAACATGCGCAAAACTCGGAAGCCTAGGTGAGCTTCGAACCGTGATTACCCTTTCCGGGGCTCATGTGTTATCCACTGAACAACCGAGGCCTTCGGTTTGCTTTTCTCTCAGCAAGATGAGAAAAAGAATCCATCCACAATTCACTGATTTTCCTTCATTTCATTCACTGCATTTAATTCATGCACTCATGCCAATTTCTGCTTCCCAGATCATTCCCTTCGACCGGTGATTGCTAATAGCACCGTTGTGGCCAAGAACTGGCCGAGAGAAAGGTGAAGCAAGGGTTTCAGTGCTGTGGTGGATAACATGTGAGCTCCCGGAAAGGGTACCTGTGGTTTCGATGTTCACCTGGAGCTCCGTGTTCTGCTCATATCACAGCATCATTGTGGTTGTAATTCACATAACATCCTTTTATGAAAAAAATACACAGTAAATAAAAAGCAGTGGGTAATTTGCACTACCAAAATGAAACTGTATGACTACTTTTTAACAATTTTCACGGAACATTGTATTTTCAGGAAATGATGGCTGCTCGTATGGATATCGACGATATGATCATCCGATTATTAAACGTTGGTGTACCAGGTTGTGCACTGGTTAACAATGTGAAAGAATCTGAACTGTTGCTGCTCTGCCAAACGACTAGGTATGCGCATAATGTATATCAAAGTGAATGATGCATGGCGTCTGACCACAAAATAAAACTAAAAATAGTCCTTCACCAAGCTCCCAGTGGTCTTCGGAAGCCAAAACGCATGACGATGTTCAGTGACAGTTTATGGGAATTCGTTTATACACGCTGATCTTCTTGTTGATGATGAAAATCATTGATATTGGTGACAACGATGATAATGTTAACGATGTTAATGATGATAGTGGAAGTTAAGTGGCGATCTCCATTTTTACAAAAACGGATGCTTGTCGGTAAGCGTTGATTGAAATGAGCGTTGTCCCAAAACGCAGTGAATATGTGGATATCAACGCCAGCCACGTTTATAATCAAAGACAGTGTCCAGCGATGCAGTGTTTATATGCAGCAATCGCATATCCGCTCCAATGGATTCGAGTCGATGCGGCTGCGGAAACCCACACCGCAAGAAGCACCTGCTTTGGGCACTCGATGCGATTTATTGTAGCTCAAGAGAAAGCATGGATTCCCCGGCCCATCAGCAATCCCATCAAGCGGCTGTTTCTAACAATCTTATGTAGGCTTATGAATACAACGAAATATGAAGATATCGTTGTTACCGTCCGTCATCCCTGTCACTAAACAACAATAACGTCCAATCCGAGAGAGCTTACATCTCCTTATACCTAAGCCTATGCCATAACTAGCGCATAGCACCAGTCTTTTGAGACCGCTTTCCACCAATAGCCCAGAAGTCAGTCTTTTTTTTCGTTTTGAATTCGGTAACAGCACAAATGTTTTTAAAGTATTGCAAGGATTATCTCCGGTTGTAACAACCGGTTAGCACGATGTGGTCACTAAAATCAATACCTTCTAAAACAAAGTAAAGATTGGCTACTTATACAAAGGTTAAACTGTGGATACCGAGCAGAAACTGTCTTTTTCTTATCTATCTCTACATATTTTTTTCCAGACAAGTATTTCTAAGCCAAGCATCGCTAGTCGAGGTTCAATCTCCTATAAAAATATGTGGGGACATTCATGGTCAATTTGCCGGTTTGTAAAGAGGTTTCGGTCACTGCAGCAGTAATAGAAATATCAACTGTTGATAAGTTATTTTATTCCTTTCTGAGAAATTTCCACGTTGATCCTAGATGTGCTGCGATTGTTTGATCGAGGTGGTTTCCCGCCGATGGTTAATTACCTCTTTCTTGGTGACTACGTTGACCGTGGCCATCAAAATCTTGAATGTATTGCGCTTTTCTTCAGCTATAAGGTCGAGTAACGTTTTTTGGAATAAATCTCGTGGTTCATCCATTTATTTAACTGCTTTCAAGTTTAGATCAAGTATCCGGGCAACTTCTTTATTTTGCGAGGGAACCATGAATGTGCTCCGATTAATCGAGTGTATGGCTTCTATGAAGAATGTAACAGGCGTTACAATAGCACTCGATTATGGCTCGGTTTTCAGGTTTCCAATTCTTTTTTTTCACGATTGTTTGATCTGCAGCATGAAATAGGAACAAAAGCCGCTTTTCAGGAAGCGTTCGCAGCGATGCCATTCACCGGACTAGTGGCTGGCAAAATTCTGTGCATGCATGGTGGCCTGTCCCCTAAGGTTGTTAGAATGTTCACATACCAAAAACTACTTAAATACTGTGTTTGCAAAAGGAACACACTTTTGTAGTTAAAATCTCTGGATCAACTGCGACAAATCACTCGCCCCATTGATCCTCCAAACCCATCGTTGCACATCGATCTCTTATGGAGTGACCCTGATCACTGCGTTAAGGTAAGAAGGAAGTATAATCATTCCTATGTGCAAACTGTATACGCACTGAGATGGTTAATCAATATGCATCTTTTGCACTACGTACCATCTCAATTTCGCGTCACTGGTTAGCGTCCATACTGAATCCTACATGGCACCAAAACATTCTTCTTAAAGAAATTCTTGACCGACAAAATTCTGCGAGGTTTTGATCAGAGCTTTCCAAAGAGTAGAAAAACGCCCGTACGTATCTGCATGAAAAATATAAGGTCTTCTTTTATCGCCGAAGGTTTGATCTAATTGGTATTCAGGATACACTACATAGCAATTCCCGGGACAGAATTTGTATTAACCTCGCCATTAATTAATAATGTCATCTTATTGAGTAGATAATAGGCTGTTAACAACTGTTAACAGTATTCAATACTGGCTGACGTTTCCACAGTTTCGCTTCCTTCACAGCCGCCTTGTTCTTAATACGCCTTCGAGCTATTGTTGGAGGCGTGCCGCACAGAGTTCTACATGGGTGTGTTATGCACGTGGAAGGATAAACCAGCGAAGTGTTAGAGTGTTCATGACACAATTCCACACATACATCTGTGCACGCACCTATGAATGCGTTTCCTTGCTATAGAGCTCATATAGACTCATACCTATCCGATACGATAGGATCGGGGAGTCCATCTGTATATCTATTTTCAACTTACGTCGCATCCGTCACTTGGACTCACAAATTTGTGTCGCGAGTATCACCTGTATAACCTGTAGCCCAGTTGATCGTGGAGTGACTCGAGTGGGCGCCAGTAAATCTTCCATCTTTCCCTGTCGCGTATAAGAGTAGCCCAGTGGGTTCTGCTCGCTCTAGGAACTCGTCGAGCACCATATCTTTCTTCTAGGCTCCTTAGAAAGAACTCTGACCATCGGTTCAGTGGTCTTCCCGCAGTACGTTTGACATCCCGAGAAATCCAGTCACTAGCTGCTCCTGTCCATCAGTTGTCATTCATACACATTACGTCCCCACCTTATCTTCCACTGTTTGGCGTACAGAGCGGCATCTTTGATTTTTGATCGTTGACGCAGATCGGAGGTTCGGATCCCATCCTTTACTTATGTGGAACGGGATACTCCAAGCATCATCCTTTCGACTGCGCGTTCGATGACGCTGAGTGACTTTTCATCCTGCTTACGCATCGATCACGCTCCTGACGCATACGTTAGGGCAGAAAGTACCGTTGAGTCGAAAAGGTGGGCACGGAGTCGGGTGTTCTTTGTTCTCTTCACTACATCCTCGACGCTCTTGAAAGCTACCCAAGCCGCTCGTTTCCTTCTGTTCAGCTCTGGAGCTAGGTCGTTCATCATATTGATTTCCCGACCTAGATAGACATAACTGGAGCATTCGGGGATACTCTTTCCGTTGAGCGTGAATGGGGCATGCGAAACCAATCCGCTCTTCATGAACATCATTTTTGTGAGATTTAGTCAAAGACCAATCTTTCCACAGGCTTTGTCAAAGTCGTTAAGCATACGTTAAGCTTGGCTAATGTTTGATGTAATAAGGACGATGTCATCAACAAAGATGGTGTAACTGGCGACCGTCGATTTTCACTCCCATATTTTACCATTCCAATGTTCGCCTGACGTTCTGGAGGGTGGCGATAAATAATTCTGTCGAGATGGTATCTCCCTGCCTAACTCCTTTTTTGACGTCGATGTTAATATTGTTGTAGAATGATGATATCTTGGTTGTAAAATTTTTGTACAGCTCATTAAGACTGTTTCTGTACTGAGTAGCAACTATTTGACCATAAAGGGCTTCCAGGACTGCTTATATCTCAATTGAATGAAAGGCCTTCTGTAAATCGTTGAAAGGGAGACACAGCGGTCTTTCGTACTATCGCGATACTTCAATGAGCCTTGTTATCATGTAGATATGGTCCATCGTACTGAATCCTTTTCGAAACTCTGCTTGCTCACATGGCTGCCCTTCGTCCAGTGTTCTGTCAATCCTATTTAGGATGACTCGAGTGAAATGTTTGTAGGCGACAGACAGCAAGCAGATTGGGCGATAGTTGCCGATATCGTGTAAGTCACCCTTCTTGAAAAATAATACGGTCTTGCTGGCCTTCCACTGACTAGTGACCTTGCATTAAAACAGGTAACGTGTGAAGAGCCGAGCCACCATGTTTATGAGGACTGGTAGAAGGTTCTTCAGGTGTTCTGGTCTTATCCTGTCCGGTCCTGGTGCTGTTCAATTTTTCACCGACGAAATCTCATGCCGGTCGGATTTCGGAAGGGAGAACCGGTGGCGCAAGATATCCATCCTACTTTATTTCATATGACGGAAGGTGGACGTGGCTATCGAAGAGATCTCAGTAATATTCGTGAATGATTTTCTCCATTGCCTTTCTGGACTCTGTAACTGTTCCGTCTGGGCGCCGGAGTACAATCAACTTGGACTGCCTGCAGCTCGTGCGTTTCCACGCTGGCGTATTAGCTCGAGTGTTTCTGGAGAAAGTCGTCTCCTGGTGAGTTTCGAACTCTAAGCTTTCATAGCGCTAACGTGAAGATGTTGAATGTGCCGTTCGTATTCTTCGTCGATGTTATCGACAACGGCATCTTCCCAACAGCCGACTATTAAATTGAATAAATCCCAGTTTGCGTTGGTTCTGGGTCTTCCATAACCAGAATTCGGTTGTGGAATTCAGCGGCTTTTTTACCTTTCCGTGAGAAATAGAATCTTGCACGAAGGAGACGATGGTCTGATCCCGTGTAGAATTTTGGGACAACAGCGACATCGGTTAGGCAAAACCTTCACTATGATGTGGTCTATTTCGTTATGGTACTCTCCATCGGGAGACTCTTACGTCCAGCGCTGAAGGTGGGGCTTCTCGAATTGCGAGTTACCATGGACTATCTTGGTCGCCATGATAAGCTCAGACACCACTCACCTTGTTCGTTCCATTCTAATTCGTGTGTTCCGATGTGACGTTCTTCAGACGATCTTCTTGGGCCAATCTTGGCGTTAATATCTACAACAATGACATTTTAGAACATATGATCTTCTATGTAGAACTTCTTCAAGTCCATACTGAACGCTTCGAGTTCGTCTTCATAATAGTTCGATGTCGGTGCGTAAACGACGAAGATTGTCTCGCGAGTAACTCTCCGAGTATCCATCCGTTAGAGGGTCCGTACAACCTGTGGCGATAATGAAGAAGACCTTGTGCTGAAGGATACTGCAAAAACGTTGTCTACGGGGACTCCAATTTTATTGTAAAGGCGGTGCTCCTATTCTTTCAGTTTATTCTTGGATATAATCAATAACAGAAAGTTCTCAGCAGGTTTAAATACTCTTGAATGTTTTTTTAAGTTAGAAATTCAATATAGGGATGGCAAGCGAACACTCGAGGAGTTTCGTACGTATTTGGACAAGACGTCGTGCACGAAATGCTTCCCATTCTAGACATCGATCTAGTCGCCAGAGCCCATCAGGTCATTCATTCAGTAGCGGAACTATTTGGACATAACAAAATGTTCTACAACTCTTTTAGGTCGTACAAGACGGCTATGAATTTTTTGCGAATAAGCGTCTAGTAACGATTTTCTCAGCACCGCACTATTGTGGGCAATTCGATAACGCTGCAGCCATGATGAATGTCGATGAGGGACTAGTGTGCTCGTTTCAGGTTGCGTATGCACTGATGATAGACAATCCACATGGATGTAAACATACATAAAGACTGGAGAGAGCAGGGATTCCGCGACTTTTTTTAAGAGGTTGACAAAACACCGTCACACAGCTAGTAATGAGGTGACTGGTAGACTAACTAGAATTGAAGGGAGAATTTTTCGTTACTTCGTACATCATCACTCTTCAAATATAGCATAGGTCCCAGTACTTCCTCTTCTATTCGGTTCGTTGCCTCAGAATCTGAAATCTTAGTGTGGCTATAATAAACTATTCCCACTTTTTCACCACAGGCAGTCTCTGTTCTTTTCGGATGGTAAATAATTTTTCTAGAAGAAGATGGGAACTAGTTTAACGGTGGCATAGCGATGGAAGTTTTTTGGAATATTGCGGGATTGATCCAACTAGCATGTTTGTGTAGAATGGAACCTCTAATCACTGAGCGATAGGTCTTTCACGTAAATGTCGATTTATTGTGTAGCATAGAATAGAAGTAACAGGCCATGTCCATAAGATCTCAACATGTCGAGCAACATCATCTACGCAAAACTCACTTCTGTCTCCCTGCTTTGTCTTGTCATTGAGCTGCACTTTATATTCAACATGAAGAATAGTAAATTCGATGGTGTTCTCTTCAGATACTGCGGCCAACAATCAAACCAAATAAAGTGGTTTCTCGAGCCACTTGATAGTATATAAGGCGGGCACATCGTTAATATGTTTAAATAATGTCCAGCGCTTAATAAATAAAAATGTTTTGAAATTCTAACCTAATTTCTTTGCCATCCGATTGAAGAAAATTTTGGCGCTATTGCTTCAATAGCAGCAAAACAGAAATGTAGTACGAATGCAACTCAGCGGCTTCTGAAATCCATGCGAACCTCAATGGTGTTTTTGAATTTTTTGTGATTCGTCCTTCGGCTATTTCTTAAAACCTGTGAGACAGTCAGATCATGTTGTTTTCCTCGCAGTGTAATCAAGCAAATTCTGCTGGTTATTCTCTGAAGACTACTTTCCAAATTACATGATACCCACAGAAATAACGGACCAATGAAACACCATTGAAGGGCCATGAATGTATTCTTGAAAAATTGCTTCAACACTGAAATGCATGGATATGCCGAAATGCCCTTTTTCAAGGATGGCGCTGGTTTCGGAACAACGAATATCAATTTGAATGAGATTTTGGTAGTTAAGCAAGTCTATGTATCCCTAGTATTCAACACGGTCAAGGTGACGACGCATGTAGACTTGCGACTGTGTTTCTCCAATCTATAGCTATCACTGATTTGTTCGTTACTTGGTTTCCTAGTAGAAAAATCGAACGAACTTAGTTTCGTCAGCCTCATGGGTGATGAATTGCAATGCGATACCCAGGAACACACCATTGTCACGGTCTCACTACCACCTACTGAGGGAAATGCTTCGATTACTAATGACCATTAGTCTACACTCTCAACCTGACGTAATTCACATCTTTCAAATCACTAACAAGTTTTCACGTTCGTTAAACTGTTTGACTTTAATGGAGTTCACCCAGGTATTGAACCGGCGAGGAATCTTGTTAGTGAGATATTATCATCAAAGTTAGCCATATTGAAAAATGAAACCTTTCTACAACGAAAATCATCACTATAAATCCTATCGTGTCTGCTACATTAAAAGACGAGTTGAAATGCTTTTATAGGAGTGGTTTTGAACTTATAACTATACTCGAATGAGCTGAAAGAATTCAGTACAGCATTTACGTTCGAAAGAGAAGACGAGTTGTAGGATTAATTTCCTCAACAGAAAGAGAAGTCGTGCTCCTCCAATGCAAGCAAGATTGGTTTTTTTCCGCAGAATATTGGTAAAAGGTCTGCCTATTTAAGTTCGGAATCACGAGTTTTGCTTTCTTACTAAAGACTTCCAAGAAGTAAATCAATTTTGAAAGGAGAGGACTTCGAGTGAAAGCCTAAACAAGGCAACCGGAAATATCCTAACTAATCAGCGAATACAGTTTTATTAGAGAAATTGCAGAACGAAGTGCAAAAATGCATAAATAACCGGACGAAGAAATCTGAACTGCTGAATGTTTCAAACATCGGCAATTTTGTTTCGTTGTTGTTTTTCAATGTTTCGAAAAGAATTGAACATTCTGGAAGTCTGCTGATGACAGAGAGTATACATTCAAAACTCCTACTAGAATTTCTGAAACAAACATGATGTGAGAGAAAGATCTAGAAATTAATTAAAAGAATAGCTCATAGAGAATTCGAAGGAATTTGGCAGCAGGACCCGAACAGCGAATAGACATCAGCTTCCACAAATATTCGAAAGAAACCGTCGAAATCCGTGATCATGATTGCGAGAAAAGCTTAGAGCCAACCTCACAGGGGCAGGTAGAACTACTAAAATCAGAAACTTCTAGACTATCGTATCTCACCTCTCAACAAAATAGAATGCTCACCATGGGGCTCAGGTTTGTTAGCCTTTTACAGACTGAAGCGACTGGATTTCTACTCATTTTTTGGGGTGGTATACTCTTGCGTATGAAGACTTTCGGTGCACTTTTCATACAATCGGTAGTTCATTCAAATTAGGCATGGAAATTCTGCAGAGGGTGGAGTGCAGAGTGTTTTTGATGCCGATGATCACGCTCATCGCGCTTTTTCGATCCCGCCTCTACCTTAAGTCTCATACATTCGGGTTCGCAAAACTGACACATCCTCCTGACTTGTCCGGAAAAAATTGCTGTGTGTAATCCAAATGGGAAAGCTCTAGCCCAGCTATGTGAAAAGTGCACGGTGAAACGATTTGATCAACATTCAAAGACATTCAAGATGAAGGGAAAGAGTAAGTAATAGCCCAAGCCACATCTAGAGAGTTGGAAGACCTTCGTGAATCATGGATGCGAGGAGACAGATCGAATGTGAGAAGTGGTGGGATCCGCGGAATACACGATGTGAGAGAAAGATCTAGAAAGATGTATAAGACGGGTTGCATAAAATAAAAAATGAAATAACAGAGTTTGTTCTGTATGCTTAGTAATTTGCAAAAGTCTTCTTTTTGGTCGAGTTCACTTTTCGGGCGGGAGACTGCTGCCGTTGGGAGGGAACAGAGAGGTCTTTGCTGAAACTCAACGCTGAAGGTTGACACTCAGAGACAACTTGTAGTTACGATAAGATATTTATTGTTGAAAAGATTGGCATAGGTGAATTGTGGAATACAGTTGTGAAGGGTTATGTACAGAATACATATATCCTGTCAACGCTAGTGCTTTGTAGTAGCCAAAGAAATGTCTTCATTTTTATTCGAATTATTTCCAAGATATGGCTATGGTGTATTTACGAGCATTCTGCCTTCAGGAATGAAGGATATGTGAACATAGATCTAGAAATTGTCTACTGGAACTTCTTCCACACTCTTGGTGCAAACCTTCCATACTTTCCCCATTGGCGTCTAAGTGACTAAATGGATTGGCGGAGAGTCGTATAACGGTTTGATGTATGAGTCGGTTCGCCGTGTCCAAATGCAAGGTGCTGGTTCAGTCGAGATTGCAAGTTCGCTGCTTTTGAAAAACTAAGAATCGTGAGATACCAAATAACGCCACTATTCACTGCTCACACCACGGCGAACTTCATCCTCATGTTTATGTCTTCAACTTCTTCATTATCCATGTTACTTTCTAAGTATTCTGCAGCTGGTATTTCCATTTATATCAACTCAGCCTCCCCATTGTGCTCTATAGGAACACCTTCTCGGTTACCCTGGATGAGAAGTCCGGTGAAGTAATTAAAGTCACTAACGCACTTTAACCGTTAGTTCCTTAAAAAATCAACGCAGACTTTAATATGACATAAGGTAAAGCGAAAGCTTCTTAGGAAGCGAGACCGTGTTACACTTCAGTTATTTCAACATAAAAATCGGCGAGATAGAGGAAAAGTTAATAAGTAGTAGAGAACGGTGGGCGGAAGATGGAACGGTGACAAGTTCGCAAGAGAGGGGCCGCATTAAAAACTGCCATTAGAATGAATGTTCTAGAGTATTCCTCCAATCGCCAACATGTACTCCGGCCTTAGTTCTATTCCTATTCCGTCACTTTATCGAAACAGCAATCTTCATATTATACTTCCACGTGATTTCTGTGCGGTTGGTCTCTACGTGACATACCTAGTGGAAACCTCATAGAAAGCGGCTCTGAAGAAGGCGAAATTCGCCGAAACGTCAGCTTAATCGTGAACAAAGTATAGTAACACCTCGCGTTTGCTCAACAAAAATACGAAGAAAATCACGCAGTCTTCATAGTTCTGTTGAAAAATAAATCGAGTCGAATCTTCTTGAGTGGAGCACCGCTTGAACGAGGTAACCTCACCCAGCGATGCTGTTTTACGATATGACGACGAACACAACACACCGAGTAGAAAGGACCCGCACGGTGTGGTGGTGAACGCGTTACTCCCCGGAAGGGACAATAGCGCGTTCGTTCCCCACCATAGACACCTGCGGTCCAGAGTTTTGCAAATATCTCAACAACGTTGTGGTTGTACACCGAGTAGACTCCAAGTAGCTCCTCCTCAGCTCGGCCGGCCCTGCTGGGTAATGAACTTTCCGCTGTGCATCGCAGCCGACACCCAAGAACACCTATCAACAATGATGAGGTGGCAAACCGTTGGGAGGGCAGTGAACTTTATTCAATAAATAAATTCTTTTAAAATCTAAAAAATTTTGCAAACAAGGTAGAAGTTTGTTCATTCTCGACTGATGATTTCTACGGCTGGAAGGACCTAATTTTGACAACGCTTTCCACTTTTTGGAATATTTGTGTTAAACAAAGCTTAAACTGGAAACAACTCTTTTAAAATGCCATATACAGAACTATAGGGTAAAGTCTGTTTTAGAAGACTGTCGTATTATCAGCTCCTCAAGTACTTTAGCAATCGAGAACTTGTCAGGAATCGTTGAGAATACAATATCGCCTACTATGTGTGCCAAGCATGTTAATATGATTTTTGAACGGTAGCTTGCTGTAACGTCGCTCCTAATCGCTCTGATAGACAATAGCTATTT